TTAAAGAAATTGATGAGTCTTCAGACTAGTACATTTTGGATGACAGTAAGGGCCCTAGACGATGTTTTGTCAATGCATTAATTGTCATCCGATTATTTTGTTTTGTTGCCTGAGTTCTGTTTTGTATAGCCATGTGAAACAAAACTGATGAACAAGGTCATGCAGACATCTGTATAATCCTGAGGCTTGTGTCCAGAATGCATCAAGTTTCACAAATTAATTGCTACTTGTAGTAGTCAGTTTCTCTCCTTCGTGGTGTGTTCTGATTAAACATTACTTTAGCAAAGCAAAGGTTAAACTGACTAATCAGTAATAAACTAATAAATGTCTTAACAGTGTTGACAAATGTACTTAAGTGTTTAGCACCTGAAACTAGATATGAACACTCAAGAATGTTTCAATCAGATATGGACCTCCAGTAGTCATAGAAGTAATTTATGACCAGGGCTGGTGAAGTACTTTCCTCATCAAGTGTGTACACAGGCCAATATGTAAAGCAAATAACAAATTGGGAGTAACAAAACCATTTTCTGACTTGCAGAGTGTAAATTGTGGGGTTTTATTACCGTACCTGGGTCCCAAACAGTTCCTGAAGGAATGTTTGTAACCTTTAAAACGAATGTCATTTATCTACTTCCTGAAGAGCAAGTTTGATTTTTTGACAAAATGGGTGTTTTAGGATAGATGGAATGGCTGAAAGATGTACAATATTCATACATTTTGTACTTACAAAGCTATTGATAGAGGTAGAATATCATGAATAATAATGTTTGAAATTCAGTAAGCTTATTTCATATCATAATCTATGAAATCAAACAATTAAGTTTTACTTCAGTATGTTCAAGGTTTCAGGTATTTTTGTTTTCTAAGAATTGACTTATTGTCAACCAAAACATCTGTAAGTAATTTTTCTCTGTCCCTATGACTTTCGTCATCACCAGCATAATCCCTACATGCTGCTTTTGTTTGTAGGAAGATTCTTGTTTTATATGGGATCTTATACATAAGGCTGAACAAGCAAGGAGTTTTCACTGTTTGTCTGATCAAACTGTGTAGAAGTAGCATAAAACATAACTCACTCACTCATGCCTTGGAATATTTCAGTTAGTTTCTGAGATTTATGGTAGCATACTGGCTCTCTCAATTTTTATGGCATTCAATCTATAACTTTATCCAATATAGTCTAAAAGCAAGGTTCAGTCAAATCTATTTCAGTGTATGAATCAATAAATCAATGTTTTATTATTGTCTCACTTGTGTACATGTTACAGTTCATAAAATATGTACAAAGTTATAAAAATACACAACCAATCGCCCAGTGGTTTACAACTACAAGAGACATATAAATACTAAAATATAAGAATATGACATAAACATATCTAAAAAGACAAACAGGAGATAAGACATTAAAATATACACATAATTAAAGGGGTACCAATAAGAATAACAGTTTAGGTATATAAAATACTGGTATAAGTCAAAGACTCAATTGAAACATGTATAAGCAGACATGTGGACCCAAAACTATTTGACACAGACTGTATTGTCTCCAGATATAGAGTATTTAAATTACAGTTGTAACATGTACAAAACTGTCTGTTCTAGTGAATTCTACAGCAGAGATTATTGGGTGTACTATTTTCAGTTGGATTATTTGGAAGATTTTAGGGCAACTGTTGAAATTAAATACCCCAGAGTTGTTTTGTATTGTATGGGTTTCATTACCAAGCATGGATTACGATCAGTGCTCTGCGCTTGACTGACCCTTTTGGGGAGGAAGAAAAACCTACATTATATTTGGCTACCTGCAATGTCTCTATATTAGGAGGGTTAGGAGTCTTTGCCTGTTTTGCTTTGTCTGTGGTAGGAGATTAAGTCAAGGTTGTGTGGCATTTGGCATGTGGCCATTCTCCATACTGAGCTGTCTGAGGGAGCAGGCTTATAACTGTTACAGAGCAAGTTGAGTCTGTTTCACATATTGACTGGCTCAGCTAATCCCAAACACATGTAGGATTAGCATTTCAACAGAAATTGATTGCTCACAATTAACGGATATAGCTTTCAATGTATATGAACCTTAGCTAATTACTGAACTGTGTGTTTTTGGTTTTGATTGAACATTGCTATTTTTTTATAAGCCATATTAGATCAAATATTGTTTTCTTCACTTTTAATTTTAATTATTAATCTTTTACAGCAGTCAAATTTTAATAATGACACTGAAATTTGAAAAGAAAATGAAGGTAATGATGCCTAGTGTAGATACAACAGAAGAAACTCTGATGGGTCCATCTTTTATAACACTCTAGGCACAGTGCCTGTTTTAAAACCTCCTGTCCAGTAAACATGTATTTTGGATCGTTTTAAGTATTTACAGTTGATTCTGTTCCCTGAGTTCATTAGTGTGATAATCATCCTAAGGTGACAGCCAATCTGAATGAAAGTCAAGCTTGTCAACATATAGTAGCTTTATCAATCAAATGATCAGCCACTTTACAGGAAATGGTAGTAGCCAGGAACTACATACCGACACATTTATGAAATAAAAAAGCAAGGATGAAAAGGGATGATAGGAATGAAGAGTGACAAATGAGGTATATAATGTTTAAGGACGACACCTGCAACACGAAGCATGCAGTTAGGGGTGATGTGGTAGCCTAGTGGTTAAAGTGTTTGCTCGTCACACCAAAGACTCAGGTTTGATTCCCCATATGGGCACAATGTGTGAAGCCCATTTCTGGTGTCCCCACTGTGATATTGCTGGAATATTGCTAAAACTAAAAGTGGTGTAAAACCCAACTCACTCTCTATTACATATAAGTGTGCTTTTTACAAACATGCTTATCATCTGCATATTGTTGCGTGATGAATGATATCACTAATAATCTTTCTTACGTGTATTCACTGGGCATTGTTCACAATTAAGAGGGTGGAAGATTTGTTCATGTAAAGTTTGAGTCGAGATGTCCCTTTAATCTTTTCCACTAGGGGCGTGACAAGGGCTCCTTCACTTTAATGGTCAGTTTCAACATTGCCCAGGTTTTCTCATTTGTTGATATGATGAATGCTGACAATTGTTTTTGACATGAGAGCAGTGAGACTTGAGCCCATTCTTCCTGAAGTTTCTTGATCAGCTGACCTTCCTGACAATATCATTCAAGGACAGGCCGACTCACAGGTCAACATGACTCCATCCAGGATGATAACTGCTACAGACACATGCTTGGTGTAAACAATGACAGGCTTTATTTGTCATGCTTATCAAGGAGTGTTTTGTAAAATGGAATGGAATGTGTAACTTTTCAGGATGTGCTGAAAGGTTATTTTTCTCACATCTTACTCATATCTCTAACACCCCACCCCATCTACCCCTTTAACACACATCACACATGCAGGGGGTAGGGAGAGAGATAGAGAGGTTTAGGCACTGCTGTTCACCTATCTGTTTGATATTGCATACACCCCATTGACATGACTGACAGTTAATGTAAAAATTGAATACACAATGCCATTTAGAAAGTGGTCAAATGTAACATATGTTATATTTGGGATTACACACTTTCTCAGTACAGAATCTAGTACTTTTGTTGGGTTGTGTCCCATTCAGGATTCGAACCCACGCTCTCAGAGTCAGCCACCTAATCGTCAGCACACAAAGTCAGCCACCTTAGTGGAAGCGGTTTCCAGCTTAATGGAAGTATATGTTACGCATGTATAAATTTCCTCTTGGATACCCAAATATACAGGCATAACGTTTCATCTTGCTTGATCTGACATCACCTACACTTCAACCACCTGCTGTTGGATAGAACTGTTAACTGTACAACATTAGGGTCAGGACAGACGCTTTCTGCTATGTCATGATGTCATGCTGTCATACGGAGTCCAACACAAACATACAATCTGGCTCTGGTTGAGCCACTCTACTGAATCAACAAGCCTTCTGTGGATGTCTCCTTGTGAAGAATGACAATAGGATGTGATATAAATGGTGCATGAAATTGGCTGGTGCCAGAAAGTGTTTGCCAGCTTGACTCTCAGCAGTTTCAGTCATTGCACTGATTGTAGTCATACACGTCTATTACTACCTGTGTGGATGATTCACAACTTTCATATCTGGCTCGTACTGAGGTGACCAACCTGTAGCTTTATTGTCAAAATATTACACTGACAGCTATAATAGTTAGGAGCCTAAGCATGAGATAAATGAAATAATTTTTGAAACCAGTTACAATTTTGTTTTCTTGCCGATAGATTTTCTTAGGTCATAAGCCAAGATTTGTCATAAGCCAAGATTTCACAAGCTAGATACTCTAATTAAGTGTCCAGTGGGGCTGCAAAGAATTTGCTGTGAGGCGAACTTGATATGTTTTATGAATATATAGTAACAAATATGATTATTTATTCATGAATAAAAAGCTAGGCATTAAACTACAAACTTGTCATGTTATTGCTTAAGCTGAAACATTTCAATGATATTTTCTATAAAATGAAAGAAGCAATACATCACGAACTATGTCGCTTATAGCCTACTGACAGTGCTGTTAGGGGCCCACTTCAAAATAACACAGGTGATGCTACTTCATGGCATGGATATATTCCATTTTGCCTATCTGACTTTAATAAACATAATCATAAATATTTCATTCAAGTGACCACGATTAATTAATTGAATCCATCAAGGGATACAGTTCAATTAACCGAATAAGTGAGTGAATCGTAACAGGATTAGTGTCCAGGGTTGATTGTTTAGTTTCCTGAAACTACCCTCTCCATGTAAGTCACAGCAAATATACAAGCGAGGAGGTATGTGTGTGTTGACTATAACCTTTTGTTTCTGTCACAAAACAGAGCAAGTTTATCAGTACCACAAAATATTGGTCTTAACTTGACAGAGAAATACATGTTCGTGATATGTTTGAGCATGGAATACACGGATCATATGTGTATTATGTTTCATGCACATGACCAGTTTGTGATGTGATGTTCTCTCATTGCAGATACACAGATATAGAAACTACACCTCGGAGAAGGGCACCTTTCAATGGCTTAGATGTAAGTACATGCTATAGTTATACCTACAGCTGTTTGACATCAGTACCCATTTCTTGTGCCATGATCCTTGTGTCATTTTGGAGGTCAGGTAAAAACATGGTCCTTATTTACTTATCATTTTTGGTTTTGTCAACCCCAGGGCACTCAGATTAGAAGGTCCTTTCCACCTCGACACAGCGATGTTTGACTGTATGTGCAAGCATCCCTAAGGTGTTCCACAATCCTGTGATTGTAGGTTTGAATCCCATATTCACCCAAATTGGTTTGTATGGGCCATACCTATGTTTGAGGCTCTCAGATGTCTGTAGACCTCTGTAGACCTCTGAGTTAGTGATGAAAGTAAGGGGCCATTATCATAGTCCTGTTTTGATAACTAAACTCAGTTCAGGTTCTTTGATAAAGTCTGTGTTTTTGTAAAACAATATCCACCTTTGTCACCTTTACATCCTGCAGATGTGGTATCTTATATCTTTTATTGAGGCTATTCAAGAATGATGATAATATTTTTATGGATATACAACTTCTTTATTCTGTGAAGGTCGACGTTTTGACATAGACTCTGATGTCGTTCTCAATCACTTGCTTGACAATGACATTAGAATCTATGTTGAAAGGCTTATCACCTCAACTTCTAAAATGCCCATCAAAGAAGAGAATATCCAAATCCATACTTTTACACACTGAGAGCAGTCTTATTATCGAGGTATGCCATATCATATAGAGAAAATGAACCTTTCATAATTACATACATGTTATAAGGAGGAAAGTTTTCATTAATGTTTCCAGATATTGCTGTCAAGAAGCACCTGTTAGGAATCATTTTGAATAATCTTAATGTTATGGTTATGGTTAATAAGAGTATATACTGTAATACGCTTGATGTAGTGGAGGTGTGTGTAGGGAAGACAGGCTTTATGAAGTGCATATGTTGATAGTATGTTTATTACATTGATGAATGAATTGATGGCATTCCTACCTCATGAACATTGTGAAAGGGTTGTTGGTTTTGAATAATATCTATATATTTGATCCCCCATGGTTTAATATGGTTCAATATACCCGAATAGGTCATTCAGAAACTCTTTCAATTGCCAGTGTGGAAGTTGAGAGGTGCAGTGACAGTAGTGAAAGTCTGCCTTTATTCCGTTGTGCTACTAGCAGTGACACACTGACTCCAAGACCCAAACACATCGGAGGACAAGCTGACCATTTTTGTGTCACTGTAATAGCAGGCTATGCCCCAAACTATTTATGTTGAGTTAAGTGTTATGATATGGACTGTTATTAGGTCGGGCTTGATTCATACATTTAGAATTTCCACTGGTGCAGCCTGAAACTGCAAAATGCAACCTCATGTTTGTACCAACCGGCATCCAGTGCCTGTTACTATTCTGCTGTTTAAGGAATGCAGGCCACAGCTCGAAAACAGAATGTTGAGAAACTGACATGGATCAGTCATTACACAGACAGTGATTGAATGACTGTTATTGCTCTTGTCATGAAATATACCCGTGAAGATCCGGTCTTCAGTAACCCATGCTTGTCATAAGAGGCGACCAACGGGATCGAGTAGTCAGGCTCGCTGACTTGGTTGACACATGTCATCGTATCCCAATTGCGTAGATCGATGCTCATGCAGTTGATCACTGGATTGTCTGATCCAGACTCTATTATTTACAGACAACCGCCATATAACTGGAATATTGCTGAGTGAGGCGTAAAACTAAACTCACTCACCCGTAAGATAAAATGATTTTATTTGACCCAGAATAATTTGTTATTATGATGTTCAAAATCATGATCAATACCTAAACTCAAGAATTTTACATAGTTTTAAATTGAGTAGAAGGTTCAACCGTTTTTTACGTTAATACCTAAGGTTGCACTAGGTGCAAGTAGATTCATTTCCTTTAATCGAACCCTGTTGGTTGATCTTACTAGACCTGAAGACATGTTCAACTTAAATAAACATGACCTCAAACGAGCCGTAACACATTATTGGCCAAAGGTGCTGACTTTTTTTCTGCCTTGTATGAATGTGTATTGCCTCACAAATACCAAGATGGCCGTTCCTTGCTCACTCCCCTCACAGCGTTCCTCCTTTCCTGTAATGCTTCGATTTGCTTCACTATCAATATAAACGTCTTTGTTCCGATTGCTCAGTCACAGAATCATGGATTGAAAATCAATCAGGGTTATTGAATAGTCATGTAGCCATACTTCCCCGTGCTGGCAGCAGTTTGTCACACTTTGCGGGTAATTTCACTTTTTTTAGAAGCTGCCACAGCAGGCGGGCTCATTAATCGTAGCATTTTTATTGACGTATTTGGCAGGATGAGTTCGTAATGATACTTCGTGATTTTTCTTTTTGTCTGTCTCATATTGTTATCAGAAAAAGGTACCATTAATATTCCTGGGAATGTTTAGAGTTAACAGTTAGTTAGTCAGCGGCTAGTTATGGACTGTGGATTTGGAAACCAACCTTATCATGCTTATGGAAAGGAACATCATTCCTCACTCATGGTTCATTAATCCTGTTATTTGTTAATCAGGGCTGCATTACAAGATGACTGGTGTACTCTGGGGATTAATACAATCTCATTAAAATCAGATCACCACGGCTACACAAATCATTGATGTAGCAAAAGCAAACACTTCTCAACGCGTCACTGCAGATCACAAATTATTCTTTTTTTAGTTCACCGTTCTTGAACAGTTGCCTGCATCCAGCAGTAAAATGTTCAATAAATGATAAATGTCAGAATCATGTAATATTTCATATTAACTGCTGTCAACAATTCCAAGACTCATTGACATATAAGAATTAAATATTGTAGGAGTACTGTAAATAGGAGGACATTCAGATTACATATTTGACCATTCTTTTAAGAAATACATGTCCCATACCCTTCCACTGAGCATGCTTAGGTGATAAATGACTTTGTTTGCAGATTAGTAATGAGCGAGTATTTCTGAGTTTTGGATGCATGGATGTTTCATTTGAAACTTGCATCAGCCAGTGTTTTTTTAAAATGTTGACATCTCACTGCAAGTAAAGAGGTAATGGTTACTGCTTGTTCAGGCCAGGAAGTCACCTTTAAACAGGCATCCAACTCTAGTATGACAATTTGATTATATGACTTTTGCAGAATCTCTTTCTGTGTTGTAGTTTGGGGTCTGCACTCTAGATCCTTCAGACAGTATGGATTGCTAAATGTATCCTAAGGACTTTGAGTTCATGATGTTTGACTGTTAGTTATAATTGTTTGATGGATTTCTTTACCTCTTTGTCCAATATGGCTGGCTAAAGAGACAGATGATTGGAGTGCTAGTGATTATCAATGTGAAAATTGTGTCGCTGACAATTTTAGAAAAAACTGTTGTGATTACATAAAGTTTTAATTTACACACACAATAAACATAGTTACATCTTTACTCATGGGCTGCATCTAAGTTATATTCAGGACATTGCTTTGTTAGTAATCAAAGGATAAATACTGGTTTGTCTCCACCACCAGTGATGAGAAATATGTTGATTTCCTTTATAGCGTTTTTTGCATTTTTATTAACGTACTATTCCTTCCTTTATAGCGTTTTTTTGCATTTTTATGAACTTACTATTCCTATATGTAACAATATTCTATTGATATTTAGTGAACAATTATCAATCTCTGTCATCTATGGTTATAGCCAGCCTATCATCCAAGCCCCAGTGCAACCAATGATTATGTCTCCGGTAAGCAGTACGCAAAGAGGTACATTAATTCTCTGTGTGTCCTTGAGAGTATCATGACAGTAGATTTATACCTGTGCTTCATGCAGAAAATCTATACAGTCTCCTTTAATCAAGGCTAATGTTTCAACATGGCTTCTTTTACCTAGCAACCAAGACCCCCACAAGCTTCTGTTCTTTAATTAATCTGTTTCAAAACTGTGAGCAGTTGTCATGTTGGTTTCCTAAGCCATTACCAAGTCGTGAAATTGTTTACATTTCACTATTTTTTGTGTGTGAAGGCTTTGTATGTTTTTGATGGTTTTCTTGATTTTATTTCTGGAACTGCTCCACATGCAGCACTATCATTTGTTTTTCAAATATTGGATGACAGTTCTCTTGAATCAATGTATAGTTTTTGTACTGTCAGTTTTGCATATATACATAATATACAGTATCAGAAAGCAACATGAAACTCAGACAAATGAAGAAGTTCATGTAATAATGTTAGTGATTTATAATTTGATGTTGCAGGAGCTTTATTCAGCCATGTAGCTACCAAAACGTTTGTACATGTATAATTTGGGGCTCCTTGATAAAGTAAACAACATCTGCAGACCGTAATACTGATTAGTGAGAAAATGGGCTTGGAAGCATGCTGTCATAATAGCTAATTAATGCTAATATTTAAACCTAGACGGGATTTTCTACTGTAACAGATTCTGTTGGGCATGAAAGGAAACATTGCCAGGAAAATATGAGTTGTTTGCTCAAAAATACTCAGTACACAATGCAATTTAGAAAGTGGTCAAATGTAGCATAGTTTATATTTGGGATTACACTTTCAGTAAAGTACAGATTCTAGTACTTGTGTTGGGTTAAGTCCCATCCGGGATTTGAACCCACACCCTCAGAGTCAGGCAACTAATCGTCAGCACACAATGTCAGACGCGTCTGTAGCCTGATGGGACTCAGCCCAACACAAGTACTAGAATCTACTTTACGAAGAAAGTGTAATCCCAAATTTAACATATGTTTAAAAAATACTGGTTGCCAATATTTTGAATAATAATGATTATGTGTAATGTTGATGCATTGTCTTCTTCTTATTGTTATTCTGCTATAATTATTCTTGCCTATTAAACAAATACTCATTTACACTTGCAAACTGGAAAATACCTAGTCTTGATATTGAAAACGTTCCCTGCTGCATGTCTATAAATATAGCTAAATGACAGGAACACTGGTAATTTCCGGCAGCGGTCTCTTTCTATTTTGAATGTAAACAGTTTTAAGTAGCCAATAGTTTGCAGTGCCATCACCAAACAACGGGTTTCCATGACAGCAGAACCACCTGGGTTTAGAATGTTCAATATAAAGAAAGAGAATGTTCATGGCGGCTTGTCAGACACTATGTACAGTTCGTCTTGATTTGCATTTATTTATTTCAGATGATGTATTTCGTTATTATCAAGCAGTGATTAACAGAGTATTCAGTGATTAGTACTTAGAGGATTCAGTGGTCAGTAGAAGATTCAGTGGTCAGTAGAGGATTCAGTGGTCAGTAGAGGGTTCAGTAGAAGGGCATTCAGTGATTCGTACTTAGAGGATTCAGTGGTCAGTAGAGGGTTCAGTAGGGCATTCAGTGATGAGACTAGGAGAGGCTTCAGTAATTAGAGTAGAAGCTTCAATGGTTAGTAAAAGATTCAGTGATGAATAGAGGATTCAGTGATTAGTAGAGGATTCAGTGGTCAGTAGAGGGTTCAGTAGAAGAGGATTCAGTGATTAGTAGAGGATTCAGTGGCCAGTAGAGGATTCAGTGGCCAGTAGAGGGTTCAGTTGTTAGTAGAAGATCGGTGATCAGAAGAAGTTTCATTGATTAGTCAAGGAGTGGTTGGCTTCAATGTCCATTTTAAGACCCCAGGAGGCTGCGTCAAACACAGCAGTATATACAGTAAAACCTGCCAACACTGGCACCTGTCTAATCCGGCACACTGTCAAAACTGGCATAAAATTTTGGTCCCGCCTTTATACAATGATATTATGATCATTACAACATCGTCTAATCTGGCACCTGTCTATTCTGTATTCCGGCACGACTTCCCCGTCCCAACAAGCAATTTTAACTGTAATTAACACTGTCTAAACCGGCATGGGTATGAACAGTCCACAAGGACCCATAATCCAATACACTAATTAATCCTCTTGGCACGCTAGATAATCAGGAAGTAGTGATTGCGCGGTGAATCAAACACTCATAGAATTACTGCGGTTATGCTTTATAAACACTGGGGGATTGCATTATCTATTTTCAAGTGAGTGACATGTGTCAGAGAGTAAATAAATAGGCATTGGTTTTATTGACTCGTCAGTCACTTAGTGTGTCATGATGATGAGTGTAAATGGCAGCCATGATGGAAAATGATCACCACTGTCTAATCCTGCACCCTGTCTAAACCGGCATTTTATTTCAGTCCCGTCACCAGGGGTGCCGGTTTACACAGGTTTCACTGTATGTGCTACATGGGGGCACGTGTTGGCTAGTGGTCTAAAATGTGCTGTCGTCAGCTTCATCAGTCGGACATGCCACAATCTACCAAATGTAAATCTGAATCCCAGATAATGCTAATTATCATCCTTGATATGTCTGAACCCCATCAACGTCTATGGGATACTTCACAGGGATAGAAATACTTTATTTTCTAAGTGTGCCTTAGGGCACCAGACAAATATTTTAGGTGTGCCTTTCAGAAATTGAGTATGCCCACATGTTTTTAGAATAAATGACAATGATGATGATCATTTGAAATTTATTGTTAAATAAAGAAATGGGTTTATGAGCATTCAAATATGTATGGTATTATTTAATTTGGAAAAAATAATTGTTTTGGGGATTAAATGACCAAATGTGAGTTATGTCTCTGAAAAATCAGGCGTGTCAAAAGGGCACCGAGAACATTTTTTAGCTGTGCCATTTCAATAATTACCGTGCCATGGCACACTAATATATGGGGTATTTCGAACCCTGCTTCAGTTTCCTCTCACACAAATCCACTTGAGGATTCAAACTCACTGCTTCAGAGGTAGGCACCTAATTGCCAGCATACAAAGTGTGGAATCTAACCTACCCAGCAACTGAAGTCTGACAACTCGCAGTCTTACAACAATGATCACATACTTTGTACCCCTCGGACAAGTTTAAATTGGCATGGCTCCTATGGCAAGAAGCTGTGATTACACAATGTCATTTAGAAAGTGGTCAAATGCATCTGGTATATTTAGGATACATTTTCTCGTAAAGTACAGAATCTAGTAGTATTTTAACGTGTAATAGTCTCTACTTGTCCTGTTATTGATTTAAACCTTTGTTTATGATTACAGATTCCAAAGAAAAACAGCAAGTTTCGTGATGTTTCAGGGAAGATCCACAAAATCCCCACGCAAGCTGTCAATATCAAGTAAGTCGAGATGCTGAAGACAATTGTGTAATATTACTAAAAATTGCTACTTATAAACATATATATATATCTTGAATCCCTGCAGTATATTTGATATGCTATACAAACATCTTGATTGGTCCTTGTGTTTAGTTCTGTATTTATAATCAGCTTAGTGTGTGAATGGCAACAAACAGTCCAGGTTACCGCCTACCTGTTACCATATCTGAAACAAATACAATATGTACAAGGCCATTCAGTACCAACATTATTACAAAGCATTAGATTATGTCAATAACTTCAAGGGTTGATAAGTTCTTACCTGACTATACATGCATGTAAGTAGACATTGTGAATCGAGTCGTGATGCAACAAGTGTGTCCAGTTCAGTAGATTTGATATACATTATGATATGAACATGTTTACAAAGTAATTGCTACCCTGTGCATGGCACGGGGTTGCAAATATCCACAGTGTTAGCTGAGGCTGCCAGGTCAAGTGTATCGAACATCTGCATAAACAAAACACAACATTAATGTTGCTATATCGACAAATCAATGAAGTAATATAGCAACACAAAAACAATCCAGGCTAGTACCACGTTCAACCATACATTCACATGTACGCTATTCTTTCTGTCACATTCAGTCATTCCAACACACAAGTCACTTGTAGTGTATTTATCAAGTGATGAAGAAAGGTGTTATGTATATACCTCCATATACACAAACAATATTGATTAACTCACCTTGTAGTGTATTTATCAAGTGATGAAGAAAGGTGTTATGTATATACCTCTATATACACAAACAATATTGATTAACTCACCTTGTAGTGTATTTATCAAGTGATGAAGAAAGGTGTTATGTATATACCTATATACACAAACAATATTGATTAACTCACCTTGTAGTGTATTTATCAAGTGATGAAGAAAGGTGTTATGTATATACCTCCATATACACAAACAATATTGATTAACTCACCTTGTAGTGTACTTATCAAGTGATGAAGAAAGGTGTTATGTATATACCTCTATATACACAAACAATATTGATTAACTCACCTTGTAGTGTATTTATCAAGTGATGAAGAAAGGTGTTATGTATATACCTCTATATACACAAACAATATTGATTAACTCACCTTGTAGTGTATTTATCAAGTGATGAAGAAAGGTGTATGTATATACCTCCATATACACAAACAATATTGATTAACTTACCTTGTAGTGTATTTATCAAGTGATGAAGAAAGGTGTATGTATATACCTCCATATGCACTAACAATATTGATTAACTCACCTTGTAGTGTATTTATCAAGTGATGAAGAAAGGTGTTATGTATATACCTCTATATACACAAACAATATTGATTAACTCACCTTGAAGTGTATATATCAAGTGATGAAGAAAGGTTTTATGTATATACCTCCATATACACAAACAATATTGATTATTTTCCCTTATCCTGACTCATGCTCTTTTTGCTTGTCTTCTTCTTCTTGCGAACATAGTGGAACACTTGTATCTCCCTAATTGAAGCTCCCTTCAATGTAAAATCACTAATTAGTACTCACCACGAGTTACCTCCCTTCCATAAGCGCTGGAACGAGGGCGCCACCTCCACCAATGTGCCTCACTCTCTCCTTCTTCGCCCAGTGAGCTGGACGTGAGAGCGCCTGTGTCTCCCGACACACTATATCCTTTGATTATATTTAGTTAGTTACCTCGTATAGACATCTATAGAGGTTTAGCTAGTATCCTTCAACAATTATATATTGATATTTAGTCGTGTTTCTACTGTTTATTCACGGGACGCCGTGTTTGTTCAGTGGATTACGTTGATGAAAATTCTGTACTGTTGCACATTACGTTTTTTATTCTGCTGCTGATCCGCATTTAATATGCCCTAGCTGTACTGCGCCATGTTCATTTTATTCACGTTATGCGCAGCAGATAGGTCGCGTATGCAGAGTCTAGCCATGACTGATACACCTGAACCCCTCGCCAGTCTACTGCTGTTGGTCGACCCCCCTCCTGTCTGGTGTTCCGCTAGAGTGGTGAAGAGGCATGGGACGTAGTCCGCCGCCTCCAAGAAGCGTCCTGCTTCCCCAGACATCCCATCGTCGCAGCCGAAGACTAGAGGGCTTCTACTGCATCTCAACGCAGACTTCGCACCCCCAGGGCAGCGTCGACCTCTGAGGGGGAATCAACGAAGTCTACTAGAACTTTCTCAACCGAGATTGTTCCCGTCGCAGATTTGGGCCTGTATGATGATCAGCCGATCATCTTACCTGATGTACATCAAAAGAATGACCGATGTCGGCAACAGTGATGTCAGCGCAGGTCAACATGCAGCCTGATGTACCAACGCTGATATTCGATGATCTTCTTGAGGGTCCCGTCGCTACCAACACTCAACACAGACTTCGCACCCCCAGGGCAGCGTCGACCTCTGAGGGCAAATCAACGAAGTCTACTAGGACTTTCTCAACCGAGATTGTTCCAGCCGCTGAACTGGGCCTCTACGATGATCAGCCGATCATCATCCCCGACGTGCGCCACAAGAAGCGACCGGTGACAGCTACAGTGACATCAGCAGAGATCGCCATGCAGCCTGATGTCTCTACACTGATGTCAGACGACTTCCCTGAGGGCCCCGCCGCTAACATCGCAGAGAGGGCACCGACTACTTCGTCGCAGACCATCCCAGATGAACTGTTGTGGCAAATCATGATCATGATGGAGGGCCACTACAGACTGGAGAAGCAGCCAGCCCAGGGCCTGAGCCTTCGCGAAGGTTCCAACGCAGACGACACCCCAGAGGCACCCCCCGTCAGCGTAGCAGCCACGATGAAGCCACCTTCGCGAAGGAAGTCGCAGACCACCTCGACGAAGGACCCAGATGTACAGCCTTCGTGAAGGCCTTCGCGAAGGCGGGATAGATCATCACCTTCCTCGGCTTCATCCTTAGATGCGGACTCAGACCACCAGACCTCACGGAAGCCTTCGCGAAGGTCAAGTCGCCGTTCCCCAGGACCGGACGCAGAGGAAGCTTCGCGAAGGCCTTCGCGAAGGACACCTGACCACAGATCGTCATCGTCCAGAAGGACTTCGAGGGACTACACAAGAGCTTCGTGAAGCTATCAACATTCTCCTCACAGGTCTCCGAGAAGGTCAACCCATAGACGCAGATCACCAAGACGATCTCCTCGCCGTTCACCGTGCCGATCTCCTTGTACATCACCACGTCGATCGCCTCACAGGTCACCACACAAGTCTGCACACAAGTCTACAGTCAGGTCTCCCCGAGCATCACCCGACATAGAGATAGAAACACACAGTCCACCATCAGAAGAGCTTCAACCTCTCATCAGCGATGCTGGCATAGAAGATGATGGAGGCATCATTTTCTCAGACGCTGAGATACGATATTGGATGGTAAACAACCTAGATCTCTCTTCACCTTCCAAGAGTGGCAACTCGGCGCAGACATACCTGATGAAGGAAGACGATGCAGACGCCATCACCTTACCTCCGATCGACCCGATTGCTGCGGTGCCACAGAATGTGGACACAGCCTACCATAAAGCCATGAAAGTTCAAACGCCAAGGGCGTATGTTCTTTGGCCTTAATAGATCTAGAACGATCAATGAGATTCTTATCGCCAGATTTCGTGACACGACTTCTGAAGATGATAGGATGATCTACTCGGCTCTACTTATGCAGAACCAACAAGAACCACACCCTGTATGAAGCTAACGCTCATATATTGATCGGACTCTAGACACTTCGCTAAGGAAGTCCCAGGCCGCCTCCGCGAAGGAGCTAGAGCCTCACCAGTTACAAGGGACGTCGCGGAGGAGTAGCGCTTCGCCGACCCCACATCCTGTTGAACACAGAGGTCGTTCGCGAAGCAAGCGCTCATATATATATACTGATCGGGCTCTGACTCGATACCTTCGCGAAGGTCGCAAAGGCTAAGTGGCTCCAAGTCTACTTCACCCAGAAGATCTAGAAGGGATACTTCGAGAGCTTCGCGAAGTCTCCGGCGTTCACCGAGGAAGTCTCCTCCAAGGTCTCCATATACTAGCCACTCGTCATATATAGCTACTCGTCAGTCCGTTCAAGACATCGCATAAGTTGTCTATCAACTGTATGCCATATGCCGTCTATAAGCCTACGCGAAGACAATTGCACAGGCTATATTTACAACACAGAACGTCGCTGTATTAATTAGTCAACGACGTTTCATAGATCTTCACAGGAATCAACTTTTCCGTATAGATTGCTAGAATATGCAATCCCGGACTACGATACGATTATCTACATGCGTGACCATTACGCAGATCTGCAGACAATTCAATATCGAAATTGAACAGCAGCCTTGTTACAGCGAGTATAACTCATAATCGTCAACGTTTCTGAGAAGAAATATGTACAAGTTCAGCTTTAATTCTACAATTATGACGATACATTCATGTATACAGTCTACAAGCTGACAACTTGCAAGTTTATTGTACCTTTATATAAGGAAGTCGGAATTATATTCAAAACTGAAGTTACTTTCACGACAGCCAGGAAAATAACCTACCCAGCATTAATATTACAGAGCTGAGGTATTTCATACCGAGGTTTCGCTTACCATTAACCCTCAAACACGTGGTCACCGGGTAACTTCGAAGCTACGGTGAAGACCGACGATTATGCTAATATCAACGACGCAAGATTTTATACAAGGTTTTTCCTGCTACACCGTGACATCACAGCTGGTATTCTACAGAATCAAAATGCCTTGTTCTGATTGGACCATGATGGACAAATCCACCCACGAGAGGTCGATCTTAGTTCACAGTTCAAGACTTACGCTACAAGTGACAACTATATATCAGTGAACGAGCAAACCTCCTTACAGTCCAGTTAATCTGAACCTTCATGATTGGGCTGCTTTCTTCAGGTTAGAGACCTCCCCTGTCAAGTTAGGACGAGGGCACGGCAGTCAGGCGATTTTACATAAAGTTCAACGAGGACAGACACACCTGGTTGTGCACCTACATTGTCAAGGACTTCGCAGCGAATTTACCTAGACGACGGGATACAAGTGGATCTAAATCCACAGTGTCTCAGACTACAGCTGAATTTCATCATCAAGCTACTAACACAACTAGATGGTTAGTAAACCTACTTAAGCTTTCTGATTGGAGGATTAAAACGGAAGTTTCACGCCCAACTTGGGGATCTGAATATAGTGTTCCAACACCTCACAAGTGAGGTTTATGAACACGCCTGGATGACATACTTGGACTCCATGATACGATGATTCTATCACGATGGCCAGCAAGAGCACTGTAAATTTATCTCCACCAACCAAACAGGAGGGAAAAATGCAACAGATTATTTCCTCTATCATCAAGTTACGCAGACTGAAGTCTCATGTACTACCATCTCCTTTGGATCAGAACTGTCATACTACGTGCCTACAAGACTGCAGGACCCGATCCGACCTCTCCATGAGCTTCTAATACTCATGATATTAGAGCGCTAACTTCTACAATTGATCTACACAAATGTTATTTGAAATAATGGAGGGTTTATTTCTGGAGATCCGATATGGTGGTTGCCAACCATTATCTGAGAGATATCACCACCGAGGACGCCTCAGGTATCCACCAATTCGGTCCCATGGTCCTCAGACAACAGTTGACAGTTCCTCGGAGAAGATAAGTCAATCTTACAGATTTCTACTTATCTTATAACAGTACTAAATAGCTACATGCTATATATAATTTGCTTAAGTTCTTTTTTATCATCACAGTACTATGATTATTATATCATACAATATATAAGTTAACAAATCTACAGAGTTTGTTATTATATATTTACCTTAAGTTAATCATATCTTAAGCGTAGTACTATGGTTACATTATAAATGCATTAGCTAACAAACTCTACAGAGTTTTTGGCTATTATATACGTAGCTTAAGTTAATTATATCTTAAGCATAGTACTATACTCATATTGTAAAAATATATTAGCTAACAAACTCTACGGAGTTTTTGCTATTATATAGGTAGCTTAAGCTTATTCATATCTTAAGCTCAGTACTATGTTTATATCATATAAGTATATTAGCTAACAAACTCTAAAGAGTTTTTAGCTATTTGGCTTAAGTTTCATCATATCTTAAGCATTATGGTTACATTATAACATGTATTAGCTAACAAACTCTACGGAGTTTTTGCTATTATATATGTAACTTAAGCTTATTCATATCTTAAGCGCAGTACTATGTTTATATCATATAGGTATATTAGCTAACAAACTCTAAAGAGTTTTTGCTATTATATATTTGGCTTAAGTTTCATCATATTTTAAGCTTTATGGTTACATTATAACATGTATTAGCTAACAAACTCTACAGAGTTTTTGCTATTATATATGTAGCTTAAGGTTTCCTTCATATCTTAAGCTCAATACTATGTTTATATCATATAGGTATATTAGCTAACAAAACTCTAAAGGTTTTTTTGCTATTATATATTTAGCTTAAGGTTTTCCTTCATATCTTAAGCTCAATACTAGGTTTATATCATATAAGTATTTTAGCTAACAAACTCTAAAGGGTTTTTAGCTATTATATAATTAGCTTAAGTTTCATCATATCTTAAGCAGTATGGTTACATTATAAAATGTATTAGCTAACAAACTCTACGGAGTTTTGCTATTATATATATAGCTTAAGTTTAATCATATCTTAAGCTCAGTACTATGTTTATAACATAAAAGTATATTAGTTAATAAACTCTAAGGAGTTTTTTGCTATATACATTTAGCTTAGGTCTAATCATATCTTAAGCTTAGTACTATGGTTACATTATAAATCTATTAGCTAATAAACTCTACAGAGTTTTTGGCTATTGTATATGTAGCTTAAGTTAATTATATCTTAAGCACAGTACTATACTCATATTGTAAAAATATATTAGCTAACAAACTCTACAGAGTTTGGGCTATTATATAGGTAGCTTAAGCTTATTCATATCTTAAGCTCAGTACTATGTTTATATCATATAAGTATATTAGCTAACAAACTCTAAAGAGTTTTGCTATTATATAATTAGCTTAAGTTTAATCATATCTTAAGCTTAGTACTATGTTTATATCTTAAAGTATTTTAGCTAACAAACTCTAAGGAGTTTATACTAGCATATTAACAAGCTTAAGTCTATTAGTCTTAAGCATTGTATTAATGTTATATATACTTTATCATAATAAGTACATTGTAATAACCTTTATATGGCAGCTGATAAGTTAGCAGCAGGAATTCATCAGTTCACTGCCTTTATGAAGTTCCCATAGGGTTATTACAATCATCACAGTTCAAATCACTAATTATTAAAATCCAAAGTATTATATATTCCCACCTCCTTTTCCGTAGGATTCTACAAGCAAAAAGAGCATGAGTCAGGATAAGGAAAAATATGTAATTTTTAGAGTAAAATTGATATTTTATACTTATTCTGACTCATGAGGTAAGCCCTCCCATCCTCCCCACATAACACTTTGGATTTCCCTGTAAATTCAAATGTTGGGCTCAGTATATGAGAAGAGAGTGAGGCACATGGGTGGAGGTGGCGCCCTCGTCCCCGCGCTTGTGGAAGGGAGGTAACTCGTGGTGAGTACTAATTAGTGATTTAACATTGAAGGGAGCTTCAATTAGGGAGATACAAATGTTCCACTATGTTCGCAAGAAGAATAAGACAAGCAAAAAGAGCATGAGTCAGGATAAGTATAAAATATAAATTTTACTCTAAAAATTACATAACTCACCTTGTAGTGTATTTATCAAGTGATGAAGAAAGGTGTTATGTATATACCTCTATATACACAAACAATATTGATTAACTCACCTTGTAGTGTATTTATCAAGTGATGAAGAAAGGTTTATGTATATACCTCCGTATACACAAACAATATTGATTAACTCACCTTGTAGTGTATTTATCAAGTGATGAAGAAAGGTGTTATGTATATACCTCTATATACACAAACAATATTGATTAACTCACCTTGTAGTGTATTTATCAAGTGATGAAGAAAGGTGTTATGTATATACCTCTATATACACAAACAATATTGATTAACTCACCTTGTAGTGTATTTATCAAGTGATGAAGAAAGGTTTATGTATATACCTCCGTATACACAAACAATATTGATTAACTCACCTTGTAGTGTATTTATCAAGTGATGAAGAAAGGTGTATGTATATACCTCCATATACACAAACAATATTGATTAACTCACCTTGTAGTGTATTTATCAAGTGATGAAGAAAGGTGTTATGTATATACCTCTATATACACAAACAATATTGATTAACTCACCTTGTAGTGTATTTATCAAGTGATGAAGAAAGGTTTATGTATATACCTCCGTATACACAAACAATATTGATTAACTCACCTTGTAGTGTATTTATCAAGTGATGAAGAAAGGTGTTATGTATATACCTCCATATACACAAACAATATTGATTAATTCACCTTGTGGTGTATTTATCAAGTGATGAAGAAAGGTTTATGTATATACCTCCGTATCTGAATTGGAGGTCATTAGAGGTGGTGACCCACATAGCCAGCTGACTATCTAAGAACTCATTATGCACCTTTGATACATTTAGATGAAGGATTCTTTGCCTGTAACTCTCCTCCGACTCATGGAGTGTAATATGCCGATTGTTCAGGCCCATTTTGTGAACCACATCAAATTCTCAAGACTTCTTGTATCTCCTCAAACTTATTTGTAAAGTACAATACATCTGCCAGATTGCCATGTTTTACTATACATGCTTGCACCTTTGGAAAACAGAGTTTATTCTGAAAGTTGATTATTAATGCATCTTTCCATTCACAGAGTATGGCCAAACAAGAAAGTGTTGAACAGACCCCGAGTTGTCACACTTGGACAGAAAGCCTTAGGTGACATGAGCAAGGTCATTGAATGTGTCAATGATGTCAGGTCCATCAAGGAAGAACTCGGTGGATGTGCAGTCAGGTATGTCACATCTTAGGAAAGATTGTCAAAATTTTCGCAAGAGTCTGTACTAAAGCTATATTTTGTCCTTTAAGACAAGATATGATTCATTTTAAAAGATTTGAACTCTATAACAGAATCTGTCTACATAGACCATGTAAACAGGACAAACTGTGATATTTTGTATTGTGCATCTTTCCTTAGTAGTAATATTTACTTTTGTGCACCATCACCATGGAAACCAGGTGAGAATGGGTCTACTTCAGCACCCTGTTTCCTGTCATTAGAGGCAGCTGAGTTGGATCAGGTGGTCCAGCCATGTGGCTTTGCTGACACTAGTGACAGGTCTAGATAATATAGTTAAACCATGCCGACTGTTCTTCCAGGCTGTTCACTAGAGGTGGGACACATATCAACGACCCGAGTCTGCTGCGGCAACATGAGTGTTATGTGGCAGTGAGGGAGCATGACCGGTTTTACGGGGGTCAGTACACCGAGACAACAGCACCTAACTTCAGGACCTCACCCAAGATTGAGAAGTAAGTGGGGGATGTCACAAGATGCCAGACCTGTGGGGATTCAGGGTTAGAATGGGTTAACAGCCTGTGCTGGTTTTACGAGTATTGGTATCAAATGGTCAGGTCAGCAGCCTGTGTTGGTTTTAAGAGTATTGGTATCAAATGTTCAGGTCAGCAGCCTGTGCTGGGTTTAAGAGTATTGGTATCAAATGTTCAGGTCAGCAGCCTGTGCTGGTTTTAAGACTCTATTGGTATCAAATGTTCAGGTCAGCAGCCTGTGCTGGGTTTAAGAGTATTGGTATCAAATGTTCAGATGTGGGATTGGTTGACTAACAGCTAACCTAACAGCATGTATCATTGCACACAGCATCTATCACTGGATTATCAGGTCCAGACATGATTCTTTACAGACTGCAGTCATACAGCTGGAATGATGCTGAATTAAATAACAAGCACAAGTGCACTCCTGACTTAGGAGTGCATGGCATTTTACCTTGCATGCTATTTGTTATGCTGTTCAGGAATATGGTTTGTCGGTGTGTTTTATACATGAGTTTACACGACAGATTGCCGCCCTTGAAACTCAGCCGTGGCTCAAAGAACGGCAAGCAGTGGTCACCTGACCACTCACACTCCTCCTACCCGCCATCAGAGAACAGCTACAGTAATCGGTAATCTCATCTGTTCCACTGTCATGAATGTTGCTGTTTACAGGGGTGGGGCTGGCTATTGTTATAGATCATAGAAATCGATTACTGGTCACTAAATATCAATCAGTTATCGATAAATATCAGAGAAATAACTTGAGCAAAATAAAACAATGCAAAATAAGGACTCAACTTTGTGTGTTATGTTTATTTTTAAAAGCGTGTTTGATGACAACTTTATGTGTAAGAAATTATCTATCACACAATTTTAATATCAATAATCAATACTTATTCTTTCAGGCAATGATCTTTCAATGTATTGATATTTTTATCCAGCAAAATTTGTTGGGGGGGCCAAGCATGCATAGAATTGAAATATGGAATAATAAACTTGTCCCACTTCTTTACTCATGTGAGGTGGTGGAGTAGTCTAGTGGTTAATGTGTTTACTCGTCCTGCTGAAGACCTGTGTTCGATTCCCCACATGGGCACAGTGTGTGAAGCCCATTTCTGGTGTCCCCCGGCCGTGATATTGCTGGAATACTGCTAAAAGTGGCGTAAAACCAAAATCACTCTCTCTTCACTCTTTACACATGTGTCCCATGATTCACGTATACAGTTGATAAATATTGTTTTTTTAGATACAAAAAGCATCAAAACAATCGTCAGAATCGTGGGCAGTATGAGGAGGACAACGTATTCCCACGGAAACCAGTCACACACAAACGCCCGGCAGAACGGAAGAAAGCACAGGAAGTGGATTATGATAAAGGTAGTAGTTACCTCCCCTTGGTCAGGTGTGCCCATTTTATGTTTCTTTTTTGAGATGTTATCAGCCACAAGAGCTACATCTTAAAATGAATAAATAACTCTTATTTTATCTTTTAATTGTTCTATACTTATACTAAAATTATTGCTTTATTTGAGTAATACTGTACTGTTTCTTTGACTATTGTTCCCAGATGATGGTGGTGTATTCAAAGCAAAACAAACTAACCGCCAAACTTATGGAGCACGTGAGGTTCGAGATACCCGGGATACACGGGTTGACCTCCCTATAGATCAGATCCCTGCAGAAGAGGTCAAGGTCAGTATTGAGACTCATCGATAGATCAGTGCAGACACAGTTTGACATTAAGTAATTTTGCTAGAAAGAAACTGCTGAAAAATCCTCCGCATAGTTTAGAGGTGATAGAATTGTCCTTTGGATTACGACCTCTTACATAACAACAGCACAGTTGTATGAAGGCCGTCCTAAACTCATCAGGATAATCATGAGGATGATGGGAGCTACTGACATGTACTGGAGATGTCAGAAGCCAGTTCGGGGAGGATGTTTGCTCACAGATGCTCATCAACTGCCAGTCCATGGAGCATATTACTAGTTCAGATCACACACTAAGTACAAAGGATGTGCTGAAGTCACTATACAGGGATATTTGTTCACTTTATTCCAAAACAAGATATATGAAAACATGTATTGTGACCATCTCTTGGATACAATTCCTGACTGACAGTTGTAGGTGAAACCTGATTCCGTGTGTCACTTCTTCCTTGGAAAGCACACATTATAAAATATTATGTATTATGTTGTAAGTTAGTGTCGTTAATGAAAGGTGTAATGAGAGTTTCTGCGGAGGATAGTTTAGTAGTGTTTACTAGATGTTATAGCTTGCTTTCATCTGCATGCACAAATTTCATTCTGCACAGCATTCTTGATCATGTTGACAATTTTGTTCAGTCTTCATGTAATTCTGAATGATAAGTTTCCTTTGCACAAGTTCCTGTAAAACTTTCCACATATGTAAGGTAGTGTGAGCTATGATCTGTTCTCTTCATCAAGTTATAGACGTGTCACACTAATGGTGGTAGAGAATTCAGTATTTCTATATCTGTATGAAACCAACCAATCACGGTCTATGTATTGATGCGCTCTCTATGCCCAGGTGACTCAGTACGGGACGATGCAGACTGGGTGGAAATGATACATCGAGTATTGACATAATGTGCATTAGTATCATGAGAATATCTTTAGAAAGAGACCTGTTTTTTACTAATGGTGAGATAGTTGTTCTCTTCATTGTTTTGTGCATGGGTGGTACAGTCTTCTGAGGCACCTCTATTTGCACTGAATTCGCGTTCAGAAGAACTGTTTTGATCAGTGTTTGTTTCAAGGTCATGAGCAAGAACAATTCTAGTGGTAATAGAGATGCAACTGGTGATGTAACTTCTGGAATGAAACTGATATAACTGATAGTTCCAGGGTATATTTCAAAACGGAGTGGAGACATGATTCACTGGAAAGTCTGTGGTGTTACTCTACATAACTTTGACTATGGTATAGTTCATTAAGCCATCCACCAAACTAAAAATTCAGTAATTTTGCTTAAACTCCACACTGTTGCTTGAGTCCCGCTTTGACTGATGCAGACTGCCCCCACCTTACTGAGTCATCTGTCCAGTGCTCTCATGCTCTGTAGTATTTGCTTTGCTCATATCTTGCTGCTTCTCTTCCAAACTGTATCTCTCAGGATGAGGAGACCAGCTCGCATCCCCCAGGAGATGACCACACCGCACCTGTCCCTAGCGGGGTGGAGCTTACAAAACTCCCGTCAGATCAAAACACAGAAGATGCAGAGGATGGAGAACAAGAGGTTCAGATCCACAATCTATCTGCATGTTATACATGACCATGTTCATATCTAATCTCCATTTTCCATGTGCTTATACATGATATAGAATTAGAGTGTGACCTTATCAAGGGGGCATAACTCCAGTTAAACACACAAACTGAGACTAGAACTGCTTAGTGAAGATGTTTATGTGTATTGTCGTTGTGCTTGTGTTGTTAACTGCTATGGTTCCAAGACTGGTGCACCATCCGGAACTACAAATGCAATGTCAGTTGAGTTGAAGTTGTAGGAATAATTATCTTTTTCAACTGAACAGCCAGACAAATGGGAGAATGTAATCCTTCAGAGGTTAGCATAAAAAGTACCGGGTAGATGAATTGATGTTATAGAAGTAATGTATTGTGACAGTTTGGCAAATTCAACCAAAACTTGATCCTTGCTCAAAGACCAGTGATGTTGAGAAAGTCATGTTATAGGAAATGCATAAATATTGGGTTAGACAATACTTTAATGTTCTGAAAATAGTTATGACAAATGAGTCTGTCAGTTTCTAATTTGAAATATGAGACACACTCTCAGATTTATTCATCTATTATAAATCGTCTTTGTGAGTTAGATTTGGATAAGTACAGCAAATGTATAATTAAGATATCTGTTTTGTTTTGAAAACATGTTAGATTTCAAAATGGAAAATTTACCCTTTGACTTTAAATTGCATATTTGGTATAATAGTTCTTACAGGGTAGATTCTTCTCTTATTTGTAACAAATATTGAAAAAGTAAGATTAGAGGTAAAAAGTGTTAGTTGAGATAATTGACATGATCGATGCACCTTCCTCTGTATGCTGTTTGTGACCTCAGTGTTGTCATGTTGTCGGAACTGCTAAGAATGGTGGTAAATGTTGTTTAGTATCTGTGTAGACCTGTCTCTGAGATAACCTTCACCTTTTTAGGAGGAGCGTGTCCGAGGGAAGCCAAACAGTCACAGCAACTATAACAATAACAATCAGACTCCTCCCAAACACACCAGCAAGGTAGGTTCATCATGATGACTAATCATAATGTATAGTATTGATATCCTTGTAAGTGTTCGGATGTAGGTTCCAGCTGAAACAGGGTCATCTTGCATCGTGCAACCCATTATTAGAAAGGATTTTAACATTCTTGAAATGGAGTTTGCTACTGTTTTCATTTGAAAGTGTGACTGTCAAAAACATTCATTTTCTATGAATTCATGGAATCTGCATCCCGAAGCTAATACAAGATTGCATGTGTATTGGCTGAACATAATGTGAAGTGCATGTATAGGTCCCGAAGTGAACTGCCTGTAGATAAATACAGGAAATAATGTCCACTCTCAGGGTTATGATGAAGCCTTAATGCTCTGTCTTTGTTTACATTTGGAGTATTCAAGGGAAGAGTGAGTGAGTATGGTTTATGCCGCTTTTAGCAATATTCCAGCAACATCACTGCGGGGGACACCAGAAATGGGCTTCACACATGGTACCCATGTGGGGAATCGAACCTGGGCCTTCGGCGTGATGAGCGAACGCTTCAACCACTAGGCTACCCCACCCTTCAAGGGAAGAGTGAAGTCATGTGTCAGCCATTATACGTCTTCTCATTTTGTAACAATTAACTAATCCTTCCATAATATTGTGATACAGTCGGTTGGTTGATAATTATCTTCAATATATACATTTCTACTTTTTAAGTCACTACTCACAGTCACAAGTTTTAATAGTTCAAGTTTTTGATTTATATAATTTTAATGTATATGTTGTTGTTTATTTGCTGATGTTATTTCAATTTGGGTGATTATCTCTGCATGAGTGCCGTGCATGCATTCCACGTTTACAGCAATTATTAACATCTTGTCACGAACTGCAATTATCAGCTCTCATTTCCCTTGTGGCTGTCACACCACTGACATTAATGGCTGTGTTTATGTTCTTCTTCTGGAGCTTGTTATAACAATACGGCCATAGCAGAATACATCTAATATGTAGCGCCAAGTATCACACTAACACTCGACTAGACTAACTAGACTCATTCTGTGAGCATTTCTACTCTTTCCCTTTCTACACTGGTGACTAACAGTACTTCACCTTGTTGTCGTGGTGGAGGGGAGATAACTCTGTGATGGGGTTGGGATCTGGATTCACCATGTGTGTCAGAACAAAAACTGAATCAGTTTAGAATATGGTTGGATGAAACTGCTGAATTTGAATCAAAGTGTTGAAATGAATTCTTTTAAGGGGAAACGAAATATTATTTTCTGCAATGACCTTTTTGATTCAAAAGCTTTAATATTTTGATTCAGTTAGTAAATATATGTACTATGAAGTGCAACAATACAGAGTGCAGTGTGTGTTCATCTCTTCCCCATCACATTGGCAAGTAGCAGTAGGAGAAGATAGCTAAATAGTCCACTTTAGAATGACACAGACAGTTAAGATTGTGCATTTCATGTGAGCAGAGCTTGTGGGCAGAGCATGTCCCTGTATTATGTTCTGGTGGTGTGCAGTTTGCACTAATTTCTTTGATTGCACTTCACCTTGTCTTGTCTTTCATATTAATCCCAGGAAAATTATGCAGTCATGAAATTGGTAGATAACTGAGGTTCATCGATAATGAGCCATTTTTAAAACCTGGAATAGTAGCCATGACTCAAATGGTCTGTAGACCTGTGGAATTTGTTGATGGCTTTGCAGAATCCATCTCTTGTGTTTCACATTTTCTCAATGCATTCATAGCTTAAATCGGCTAGTGCAGTCTTGAAGTTGTGTACAGGACAGCTGTATAGATTCATTAGATTTAAGAAGCATGTAGATAGCCTAGTGAGTGTTTGCTTATACAACTGATGTCTGGACCCCATTCCTGGGTTCCCCATCTTAAATATAGTCAAAAGTGGTATAAAAATGGACTCAGTTGTAGACATAATGCAAAGCCCTGGCTGCTTCTAATATCTTGCGGTATGTTCAACCTTTGCCACCCTTTGTCATGCCAGGATCTGCTGCTGCTGGGTTTGAGTCCAAGATTGGACCTCATGATGGTCCTGTGTCAGTCAGGGCTATTTACATATCGGTTTTCTACAACCACTGTCACTTCAAGCCTTTCTCCCACTTCATGTCATGATACACTGAAATACTGTTCCCAGTAACAGATGTTTTCTTGTGTCTCAAATCTGTAGGAGGTAGTATTGAAAAGCACAGAGGTATAGCTTAAAGTCAGTGAATAGACACATCGGCACCCTCTGAGCCAACCTACCGGGCGAGGATGTCTGCAGTCACTACATTTTATGAATTTTGACATGTTGTTTGCTTTGATGACAAGTACACAACATGCAAGGACGGACTAGTATCATATTGTTCTAACTGTTACAGTTACATTTCAGGACGTGTGACCAGAGGATCCCTATATTCATGTATCTTAATTCCTCTACCCAGCACTCGTCAGCTTCTTCATCAGTCATATACTAGCTGTTTGTTGTTAGACATGTAGGTTTACATATCTGACTATTCACACCCTTGGTAATAGTTCATTGCTAGGTAGTGTCAAACATGACAAGTGAGTCTAAAACAAATACTCAGTTGTTCCCTAGTATGCTGTAGTGCCATTAATAACACACTTCTTAGTTTCCCAAATTTTTCCTGTAAGTCAAGATTTGAAGGTTTCTTCAACCTGTGAACCAAGGTTAAGCCGTTACCCTAATATGCTGTAGTGTCCTTGAACCACGACTTAACAGTTCCCCCAAAATACTGTAGTTTCCTTGAACCAAGACTAATCTTTCCCCCTAATATGCTGTAGTTTCCTTGAACCAAGACTAATCTTCCCCCCTAATATACTGTAGTTTCCTTGAACCAAGACTAATCTTCCCCCTAATATACTGTAGTTTCCTTGAACCAAGACTAATATCTTCCCGTAATATGCTGGAGTGTCCTTGAACCAAGACTAATCTTTCCCCCCAATATGCTGCAGTTTAAGTTGAACCAAGACTAAGCTATTCCCCTAATATGCTATAGTACTCACAAGACTAAGCTGTTCCCCTAATATGCTATAGTATCCACAAGACTAAGCTGTTCCCCAAATATGTTCTAGTTTCCTCACAAGACTAATCCGTTCCCCAGTATACTGTAGTGCCTGTGAAACCAGACTAGGCTGTTCCCCAATATACTATAGTTCCTGTGAAACCAAATAAGCTGTTCCCCAATATACTGTAGTGCCTGTGAAACCAGACTAAGCTGTTCCCCAATATACTGTAGTGCCTGTGAAACCAGACTTAGTTGTCCCCCAATATACTATAGTGCCTGTGAAACCAGACTAAGCTGTTCCCCAATACACTGTAATGCCTGTAAAACCAGGCTAAGCTGTTCCCCAATGTACTGTAGTGCCTGTGAAACCAGACTAAGCTGTTCCCCAGTATACTATAGTGCCTGTGAAACCAGACTAAGCTGTTCCCCAATACACTGTAATGCCTGTGAAACCAGACTAAGCTGTTCCCCAGTATACTATAGTGCCTGTGAAACCAGACTAAGCTGTTCCCCAATGTACTGTAGTGTCAGTGAAACCAGACTAAGCTGTTCCCCAATATACTGTAGTGCCTGTGAAACCAGACTAAGCTGTTCCCCAATATACTGTAGTGCCAGTGAAACCAGACTAAGCTGTTCCCCAATATACTGTAGTGCCTGTGAAACCAGACTAAGCTGTTCCCAATATACTGTAGTGCCAGTGAAACCAGACTAAGCTGTTCCCCAATATACTGTAGTGCCAGTGAAACCAGACTAAGCTGTTCCCCAATATACTGTAGTGCCAGTGAAACCAGACTAAGCTGTTCCCCAATATACTGTAGTGCCAGTGAAACCAGACTAAGCTGTTCCCCAATGTACTGTAGTGCCTGTGAAACCAGACTAAGCTGTTCCCCAATATACTGTAGTGCCAGTGAAACCAGACTAAGCTGTTCCCCAATATACTGTAGTGCCTGTGAAACCAGACTAAGCTGTTCCCCAATGTACTGTAGTGCCTGTGAAACCAGACTAAGCTGTTCCCCAATATACTGTAGTGCCAGTGAAACCAGACTAAGCTGTTCCCCAATGTACTGTAGTGCCTGTGAAACCAGGCTAAGCTGTTCCCCAATATACTGTAGTGCCTGTGAAACCAGACTAAGCTGTTCCCCAATATACTGTAGTGCCTGTGAAACCAGACTAAGCTGTTCCCCAATATACTGTAGTGCCTGTGAAACCAGACTAAGCTGTTCCCCAATATACTGTAGTGCCTGTGAAACCAGACTAAGCTGTTCCCCAATATACTATAGTGCCTGTGAAACCAGACTAAGCTGTTCCCCAATATACTGTAGTGTGCCTGTGAAACCAGACTAAGCTGTTCCCCAATATACTGTAGTGCCTGTGAAACCAGACTAAGCTGTTCCCCAATATACTGTAGTGCCTGTGAAACCAGACTAAGCTGTTCCCCAATGTACTGTAGTGCCTGTGAAACCAGACTAAGCTGTTCCCCAATGTACTGTAGTGCCAGTGAAACCAGGCTAAGCTGTTCCCCAATGTACTGTAGTGCCTGTGAAACCAGGCTAAGCTGTAGTTCCCAGGCTAAGCTGTTACTGTAGTGCCAGTGAAACCAGACTAAGCTGTTCCCCAATGTACTGTAGTGCCAGTGAAACCAGGCTAAGCTGTTCCCCAATGTACTGTAGTGCCAGTGAAACCAGGCTAAGCTGTTCCCCAATATACTATAAGCTGTAGTGCCTGTGAAACCAGACTAAGCTGTTCCCCAATGTACTGTAGTGCCTGTGAAACCAGACTAAGCTGTTCCCCAATATACTATAGTGCCTGTGAAACCAGACTAAGCTGTTCCCCAATGTACTGTAGTGCCAGTGAAACCAGACTAAGCTGTTCCCCAATATACTGTAGTGCCTGTGAAACCAGACTAAGCTGTTCCCCAATATACTGTAGTGCCAGTGAAACCAGACTAAGCTGTTCCCCAATGTAGCTGTTCCCCAATGTACTGTAGTGCCTGTGAAACC